CATATAATTACAAGAGAAGATGGTGTTTAAGAACTGAGTGTGCCTGAGCCATATTGAGTGCTGATCAAGTATTGTATGTACTACTCGAGCAAGTCTCAGTAAGAATTAATTGTATGTAGGAGAGTGGCGTATATCAACGGCGTAACGACAATATTCAAATACAATTCAAACTCAGACTACTCCTGGTAACGGGGATTATCTTAGCCTGGTATCCAGTCTTACGTGATTGCGGGTGTTGGGGTGTTCGGGCAGGTTGTGCCTTCGGGGGCTCTAATAGCTTCCCCCGCCCAGTACAACAGGCCGTCCCGGCAGGAGAGTTACGCTAATAAGAGACAGTATGCTTGGGGATTTGGTTTCCCCCAACACGATGTTCGAGGAGGGCTAATCAATCGCTCGTGAAATACTCACCGGGAAACCTATGTGAGGCGGGCGGGACAGAGCTCTTACGGCCCCGACCACGATCAGACTGGATACCAGGCTAGATTATCTACTTCTGGACGTTACGAGTGATATCCGTCATTCTTCTTCAGCTAAAATAAACTGACAGAACCAGTCAACAATATACCTACAATGTTACAAAACTACTGGTAAAGAAATACTACTGATTCCAATGTGTTGAATCTGGAAACCAACATTAGCTGTAACAGTTACGTCGTGTAATCTTATACATAACTTACAGACAAAGAGAAAATAAAGATAGATCTAGTATACGTCAGTGAATGTTATACATCCAGGTAATAAGATACGCCAAAAAAAAACAGTCACTCAAGCAACTGGATATGATTTCGGAAACGGTCAGACGTTTAAAGTAGCATCCACTACCTTTCGTCAGTGATACTGGAGAGTTGTCAGTAAAGCAGGTTTATAAGTTTGAACTACTGATTGATATGGATAGATCTAGTATATGTGTACGAAATGTGCAAAGCTACAAAAAGATATTGGAGTTAATTGTATTTGAAACAGTAGTAGTCACAATTGGATACAGAGTTAGTGCAAACAGTGATGCTTTAGTGATCAGTAATAAGGAGACCGGCCTAGCCGTGTTGTCTCCATGCCAACCGCACATGTAAACAGATCCAGAAGAAACGGATTGGACACAGGGAATGAGGTGTCTCTTCCTGGTCTCAGGACGGAAGGACTAGTGTGCCAAAGGGAAAATAAAAGAGATCCATGGATGTTGACTTTCTGTTGTTAGTTTGTTTATTGTTCCGGTGTTTTGGTGTGCCCTTGGAAACGGGTGAGATGATGGCCCCCGGGTCCGAGTTTAGGCCTCACCTCCTTAATTTTATGGATGACATCCTCTGAAGATCCCCAAACTAGTGCGCGCGGGCGAATAAAAAAAATTCTGGCAAAAAATAAAAATGCTTCTAAACCACAGGAAAATAAAGCTGGTATTTTGAATTTGCGGCAGTACATAGCGACGTATACGACATGCTGGCTTTTTGCGGAATTTATGAATCGGCACTGTAGTAATTAGGTCATCAGGTTGCTAGTAGTAAGTCACTAAATAAAGAGACAAACGGTCACCGAAACGTATGGTGAAATAAGAGTTCCACGATCTCATACCTTCGCCAAATGTTGTTAACCCTTGCGGGTGACGAATTATACAAATAATTTTAATCATTGATTTTGTAAATAAGAGCCTCATTTGCATGGATTATATCAGTTGATCATATTCTCCAGCCAATGACAGCCTTATCATAACAGAAAGGCTATTATAGCACTTCCTCATAAATTATACAAATTAGGTCATGATTTGAATAAATTATGTTTATTGATGTTCACCTTCACTTAACTTCCAAAAGTATGAAATTCGGGATGCAGCAGTTAAAAGTATGGAATTATAAAAATTTCCATCAATTATGCAAATTAGGTCCTCATTTACATAAGCTATATCCTCAGATGTTTTTCTCGTTCTCAAGTAGATGTCTCAAGTGTTTCATAGTTCTATTATCGAAGAAAGCAGATTTATATAATCTCCTCATTAATCATGCAAATTAGCTCATGATTTGCATAATTGCCATCTGATTTTGTCAAGCATCACTTCAACTACCTACATACCAAAAATGACGACAATACGTCAACCGGTTCTTGAGTTATCATCCTTCAATTTTTTTTCATCAAATGCTCCTGCAGTTCCAGAATAAGGCGCTAGGGGACCCAAACTCATGTCACTTCTTCCCTATCTCAAGAGCTATCTACCAACCAAAATTCGTGACCCTAGCATGTCCAGACCATGAGATATCAAAACCGGAAGTTCAGCTGCAGTACCTAGGAAAGCCGCCAGGGGGCCCAAAATCTAATCATGTCTAGGTCTCATGAAGACCTACCCACCTACCAAGTTTCATTCCAATCCATCCACTGCCTCTCGAGTTATCTTGCTAAACCACAAACAAACAAACGCTACTGAATAACATAACCTTCTTGGCGAAGGTAATAAACCACTCGGTTGCGTAAAGAGTCTCTTTATTCAGGACTTGATAACCAATGTGGAAATTCTCATGGAATATGCAAATTAGCTCCTGAACTGCATAATTGGCAGTTGATTATGTCAATTACCAAATCACGATAATCCATTGACGCTTTCTAGAGTTCTTAACTCCCAACGTCGCCACCTTAAAAATCATGCCCATAGCATGTACAGATATCAAAGCCAGAGGTTTGCTGCAGTACCAATGACGGCCACAAGGGGTCCAAAATCCTTGGTCAGGTCCTTGTACAGAGCGAGGACATGTGGCAGACTTTCTTCAGTGTCTTTCTAGCGCCATCTAGTAGTTTATTTGTAAACTACAGTGTCAGCAAGACCCCGAGAAGTAGACTACTCCAATTGACGACATTTAAAAATATCTACAAGGTAGACAAGGGAACCAAGTACTACAAAGACAACAGTTCATCAGTGTATTGGTTGCAAAACAATCAGTATGAAATTAATAGATGTCCAATGATGGCCAAATAACATGCTAAAACACTTGACAAAGATGATTGCCATGGAAACAGCCAATCTGATGCTACCGGTATTGCTGGGATAGCCAATCAGCACTTGGCAAAGAGGGCTGCCGTGGAAATGGCCAATCAGATGCTATTGCTGATACATTCAATCAACACTTGGCAGAGATTAAATGGAAACGACCAATCAGCTGCTATTGTCAGGATAGCCAATCAGCACTTGACAATGGGGATTGCAATGGAAAAAGCCAATCAGATGCTATAAAAATTGGTGGGATAGCCAATCAGCACTAAGGATAAGATGAGGAATTTAGCCATCAACAAACCTTTCCAACTTCACTGTCACAGATTTCAGATCTATGCATTCAATATTATACAAAACAGCCAAATTGTATTTGTATGTTTAAGTTTATTTTTAACACAGACTACTCCCTTGTACCCACAGCTATACATTAACATGTATCCAACTACATGTACATGTATATGGCATTATCATTTAAAAATGCTATCGCCATTGTAAACAAGTTTTCATGACAAAGAGATGCAAAGAATGGCAGTGGTGACATAAAACAAAAATTCTAGCGATGACAAGCTTGTATTTCTTATTACAAATTATGCCATCAAGCTATTTGCAACATCATAGCGTTATTTACAATTTTCCACCTTACAAATATGAATACCTTTTCACCGGTATTAAAACAGCTTTGAACAGATCCCTTACATAAACCTTTGTCTGTTCCTTCCCTCAAAACCTTAGGAAACTTCATAAAGCAGAAAAAAATCCAGTCTGCACTTTTGTATGTTCCATCATACATTTTGTACGTCACAACCCATTGTTAGTGTCATCCAAAAACACAGTTCCTTTAACATTATAAGCTCCAAAGTACATTGTATTTAAAGGCATTTAAATGCAGTTTTTAGGGCTTGGAAATCCGTTTTTTCAGAGCCAGTATTCTTGTCATTTATGTACAAATGTACATCCTAAGTTGAAACCACACTGTTCCAATGTACATGTATATTGACCCTCATGGATCGAAAATTCCAAAAATTCTGACAGAAAACGGTTACTGGAAGACTCATCTTGGGTCTTGTTTCTGCAGTTTTAAAAGCAAAAAGTATGAAATGCTGACTCAATGTGAAGCAGTATTGTCAAGATCATAAAGATTGCCTTATTCAGAATATTTCCAGTTTTGCTGCCCCGAAATCGCATTAGATGCCTTTAATGTATAACCGTATACCCATGATACCGTATACCCATATACATTTCACACATCAGTTTATTATAGGTTCTTGTATTTACCAATATCTTTGCACAAGCCCAATAGAAAGTCTTAGGTCATACAAACTTTATCAATATCTTACCTACACACACTCGTAGCCTCTATATCAAAACCCTAGCAATACAGTGGAACATTCAACAAAAAGAGCAGTGCATGTAGTTGGGGGCAAATTGTCACCAAGTATATCTACATTGTACCATTTACAATTTTTTTACAATGTAGAGCAGTGTACTGGCACATGTTAAAAAAAAGTTAAGCGAGCATATGTTTTCTGTATGAGAAACCTTCAAGAAGTATGTCAATATTTTGTTCATTCATGTCATCATTAATGACCACAGGTTAATTTGTTGATTTGTTCAGTTACAAGTACAGGAAAGTTCCAAAAGCTTCGGTCACAACCCGCCGTACGTGCTTCTGCGTGCTGTCTACGTGCAAAAACGTGGGCAATCGTAGGGCATCCGTGCGTGGTGAGTACCGCCTCCGTACGGAATCCTACGGATTTGGGAGCACGCAGACACGCCGTAGAACTTTAAGTGCATGTAAAACTTCTTCTGCGTGCCGTCTACGGATTCATCACCTGTGCGTGCGAGTACGGGCGACATGCGTGCCCCGTATGTACCGTACGAAAGACGCAATCGCACAGAGATCGTACGTTGTAAGCACGTACAACTCACTTACCACTTGCGCAACATACGATGAACGCAACCGCTCACGGCCAGACGCGGCGTGCAGACCACACTCTTACACCTTGCGCAACCATGCGAGTGACGTGCGTCGACGCCACTCCTTCCCCACGTTTTCAGAAAAAACGTAACAGATGTAAAGTAGCCTCCCAAAAAACGGCGGGTTGTGACCGAAGCTTAAACCTCATAACATTTAGGCACACTGACCTACAACAAGTCTAAGAACACAAGCGATACTTCACTCAATGCAATTTCCCGACTACCAAAGTATGACAAAAATTGTTTGTTTGGAGAGTGGTTTCCACAAATATCTTGAACACTCAGCATCTTCTAGACCCTCAGAGAATCTAAGATTGACTTTTTGGCTCTTGTATCTTCTGTAGAGTCTTAGAACGTCTTTGCTCGAGTTGGCAGGACAGAGTCTTTGGCGTACTCGAAAAGGGACAAGAGACCGGACCTCTTGCTTCTTCTCCCTTTGGTGAAATAACTGGTGACAACGTCATCTGTAGGGATAACAGCAAAATTACTATTTTGTATAATTGTTGAAAATATGACATCTACAATGTTCCACCTCAACTTCCTACAGTTTTACATTTTGTACATTTACATTGTAAGTACTAGGTACATGAGGGAAGAGGTGTCTCTGAAACTGAAAATTAAAAGCATGTTCTTGAGTTACAAGTACAAGCTTGCTAACACTGAAAATTAATCATAAAGAAATACATTAATTTTTTTTGCACTGGGTAAAGGAATTTCCTTTTTTTACATTACCAGAAGCTCTCTTACCTTGCCTACTAGTATGTTTCGATGTCTGTCAGACACCTTCTTTAGAGCTTCAGACTGGAGTTCTGCTTCTCGCTGCTATATGTAGCCAGTGTACATCATTGTAGCACTTGAGAAATTGTTTGTTTGTGCCACTAACATTGGCTACATAAAGCAGTGATCGAGGAACAGAACTCCAGTCAGAATCTATGAGGAAGGTGTCTGATAGATATGTAAACAAGGTGAGAGTCTCTTGGTTGTGAAGAAGAAAATTCCTATATCCTAATACACTAATACATGTACATATACATGTACACGCACTTACAGTATATACGTGTACACTTGTACTAATGTGATAAAAATCTAGTTGTGGAAAGTGGTAACTTAACTAAGAATCACAATATTTGAACAAAACATGAAATAAAACCTTGCAAAATAATATATTCTTGCCTGCGCCATGATAATGTTCAACATGTATCTTCAGGTGTCCCAGCTAATGTGATAACTACCCATATCACATGTGGTTATCACATGGGCTTCTAAATGTTCCATAGAATAATTCAACCACATGCACCCAGAGCGTCGAACATTGGAATTGTCAAAAAATGATAAAAATTTCTGGTTTGATACTCTTCATTGAAATGCACCTAGTCCAGTATCCCAAACATTGGAATTATCAACTGATGTGACAATTTTCTGGTTTGATATTCCTCATCCTCATCTTTTTTAGGGTGGGTATGACATAAATAAGATACAACTTGGTGTATTTCGCATCACCCTCAGTCCCATCCAGACAGGTACTTATAATGTCATGATCAGGTGATACAGAACACACCTTACTCTACTAGTATTCTATGCTGTATTGCCTTACCTTTGTTGTCGAAGGTTTGATACTGGTTCTGTTTTCCCGGTTGTTGTTGGTTGACGGTGGGGAGGGTGAGTTCTGATGCCGACAGGGACACGAAGAACGCAAACGGGACCAGCCACAAACACACTGTGAAATACCCCAGGACCTAGCATTGCATGGGAAAACATGGCAAGAAATAAGTTATCTACATGTGTCTTAGTGCACTGTGAAAAGCATCTATTATAGGACTGATACATTGTGAATACAGAAATACATTTTGCACTTGCAACCCTTAAACACATGTCTATCATAGTATTGAGAAATGTACATGTACACAAATACATGTATTAATCTCCAAGCAGATCCTAGGGTGGCCAAAGACAGTATCAAATTGGTCAGGCAGTTCTATTTGCCAGAGTTGGATTGAAAAAAAAGTATATATAGGCCATATATTAATATTTTAATGGCCTGCCTGTTCCTCAATGTATATGGTGTCATGACATAAGGCCTGGTCATTGCCTATGACCACCTGATATACCACCTGTTCACTGCGCTCACTCGGCAGTTTAGTAGGAGTTATAGGAAATGACCAGGATTTATGACACCATAAACACCATGGTCAGGCCTCGAAATACTGGGTGCATGTGCACCTTATAGTGCACCCAAATTTGGAATGAGCACCAATTTTTTTGCACCCAAATATTTTTGTACATATGAAATGTATCATAGTATACAGGATAAATTCTTGGCATCTAAGTGTCAGAAAAATAATAAATCTTTGTTGTTGTAGTAGATTTTGAAGTTCCTATTTCAGACTCAAGCTCAGAAGAGGAGCAGAAAGATTTGTAATTAGGTTTTGTTTTATATGGTGCACCCAAAAAACTTTTGTGCACCTAATTTTTTAGGTTGGGTGCACCAGTGCACCTATATATATATTCCCAAAAATGAATTTCGAGTCCTGTTGGTACAGGTCAATAACCCTTCAGTACTCTTATAATAACACTTATAAAATTAACATTTAATGTTAAGATAATATACAAGAGTAAAGATTATTACTTACTTCTGAAAATGGGTGCCACTCTGTAGCAAAGTAGTTGAAGGCCAAGTAGTGATTCACTACAACCAGGACTGAAGCAAGGAATGAAAATATCACATCATCCGACTTGAGATTATTTCATGATCAGTATCTACATGTACAATGTACATGTATCTGTCAAATAGAGCACATCGATTCAGACTTCAGTAAATTCCTATTAAAAGTGCAAAAATTCTGTTATATATTGACACCATGTGATCATGCAAGTTCCAAACTCTAAGACACATTCTAAGGTACATACAGTATGAATGCCAAGTATGAAAGGATTTAGAACCCTATGATACTATTTTGATATCGCAAACACGAAACGTCCTCCTATGCTTGCTCCACTCTTTCAAACCACCATGCAGTTTTCTCTTTATCCCATAGGGGGCATTGCTTCAGCATGTACAATTCTGTGTAACCCAGGCTGTTTTGGGTGATTTTAAGTAATATCAGAAAGGATTTTTTGACCCAATCTCTATCAAATACTGAGTGAAAACAGTTACTAGTAGGTTTGACACTACAATTCATTATTGTATTCAATATATTAGACTGCTCATTTCTTGACAAGACTGGAGTTGCACAGTCAAAAATTTGGGTGAGTCCAATTTCTTGTGTAATAGCAATTGCAGTTCAAACTTTAATTCCTGATAAAATCTACCAACACAGATGAACTTTCAAGATACTTTTCAATATGTCAAAGGCAAAACAGAGTTATTGTTCTTACCAACTCCTAGGATGAAACTGGGAGAAGAGAAACTGAAGAAGGGGAAAGTTCCCAGCAGCATGACGAAGACTCCGTTTGTTACCAGTCCACAGCCAATCATCATGAACGGCATGCCTTCAAACAGCCACAGGCCGATGAACACTGCAGTTGTACACTGGGTGACGAAGAAAATAATTATAACTTTATTAATTTTGCAAAATCATGCTAGTACATATATTGTATTCCCAAAATGAATTTCGAGCCCAGTGGACTTAGAGAGTGTACCTAAACAAATTTTAGGTACAGGTATTAGTACACAGGTCTAGTCTGGACCTGAAGTTTCAGTTTGGCTACTTGCACAACAATAATTTCTTCTATTGTTCATGTCTACCCATTTATTGAAATATGTTATAATTATATACAACAATTTCATACATGTACAATAATACTACTTACTACTAATACTTAATAAGAGCTATTTTGAATTACTACAGTACAAATGTATATCATCTACACTGTACATCATTGTATAAACTTGAATACGTACATATTTGATCATTATGGTTCATAACAGAGGCATTGTATATAAACAAAAGTTATGTTATTGATAGTAATAAAATATACTTCATAATGACTCACAATGATCATGATTTTGATGACTTTTGCCGTCAGCACCGTGTATTCTTCCACCAGTTCAGCAAGATAGTACAACCCAGCCGCTGTAACATCAGGAATAATTCACATGTCAACAAGATATAACTACTCTACTTCCACCAGTTCAGCAAGGTAGTACAACCCAGCCGCTGGAACATCAGGAACAATTCACATGTCAACAAGATAATTATTCTACTTCCACCAGTTCAGCAAGGTAGTACAACCCAGCCGCTGGAACATCAGGAACAATTCACATGTCAACAAGATAACTACAGAGTACTCTACTTCCACCAGTTCAGCAAGGATAGTACAACCCAGCCGCTGTAACATCAGGAATAATTCACATGTCAACAAGATATAACTACTCTACTTCCACCAGTTCAGCAAGATAGTACAACCCAGCCGCTGGAACATGAACAATTCACATGTCAACAAGATAACTACAGAGTACTCTACTTCCACCAGTTCAGCAAGGTAGTACAACCCAGCCGCTGGAACATCAGGAACAAGTCACAGGTCAACAAGATAATTATTGACTAACTCTACGAATAGATTTTTTTTCTTTTCTTTTTTTTTTAAACTTTGGTAATCTCTCTAGCGTAATCCAACTTATACAATTATACAGTTTAACAAAGTAAAACTTGCATGAGGACACAAGTAACGTGTTTATAATTTGAACGTCAATGTTGGAAAACTGATTGTTCAACATTTCATCACTCAGGTGTCAGATCATGGAGCTACAACTGTAGAAAAGGTCGATCAGCTCGAAAAATTATTTATGTCCCTTGCAGGGGTCCACACAAACAAAGCTATATAGATATATATAGGGCTGGCAGTTTTTCTAGGGTCAGTCAACATATTTTTTTCCTAGGCCTAAAGAATGAAGCCCCTAGACCACCCAACAGCCATGTGAGCACTACTGCCTCTTATTTTAAAAACTGATTTCACTGACATCCAAAATTACCCGAGGGAGTTGAGCCAATTTAGTTAATGGTAGGCTGGGACCTGTAAGTGGATTGCTCTACACTGGGCCTCATTCTTCAGTAGAGGAAGTCAATTACACTTGGCCTTGGTAATCAATCTTTTCCAATAATATTAACGTGAGCTCTTTGATTACATATGCAGGAAACTTTAATCTTTTTATATGATATATTGATAGTTGTTTGAAAATGCAATGGTGTAGGCAAGAACCAGTCAAATAATAATAGACTGATTCCTTAATAACATACTCCAGCAGAAAGGGTACAGATTACTAGTAACTTCCCAGTTACACGTGCATTCATGATTCAAAGTCATGTCACACACTACTACAAGATGCACTGTGCTTTTTTCAACGAAAACATGTTTGAAACACTTTCATTTCTCATGCAAATCATGTGTGGATGTTTGCGTTATTGTGGTTTTGTGCATTTTAATATAATTATACAAGTCTAGCCACTCGCCATTGCAGCTAATTTGCACTTGTGGTTTACACGACTATATATATAATTGCACAAGAACTAAACGAGTGAAAACCACATGTAAAATGCATATAGGAGGAAAAGTTAATTGAGATATATATGTAGGTGTTTTTCTGGGGAGTAAATTAAAGACACAATTTTACAGATTAATTTAAACATTTCTAAGTACTAATACCTGTAGTAGTTTCAGCAATGTACTACAATGTTACAAATGTTAAGTTGACATATCATTATCAGATAATCAGAATGATATACTTTACATTCTATATACCTGTATTTGTATCAAACAACCCATCAATTTGTAGCTATAGTATCATTCTAATACAATACATTGCAATGTTATTATTTACAAGCACCATAAATTAGTACCATCAAATCCTAATTAACCTACATGTAATAACAGAAATCTGAGGACAGAGGTGGTGAAAATTAATCATAGATATTTTACTAGAACAAACCACATTCTTAATCTTTAATAGTACCATAGTTCCAAAATATACTACCTCAGCTCAAGCTAGATGTAGCATTTAACTTTGTACAATAACAACATTACGAGTACAAGTGCAAGCAAGTACATGTAAGTAACGTTAACGTTACATAACGTGTTAATAAACAAAAAATCGATTTTAATACCAACAAGCAAATTACGCCGGGAGTCTTTAGTTTTCTCGTCCGTTGTAATAACAAATATTCATGTACTTCTAAATATGCAATTATATATTGTGATTATCATTAAAAGTAATATCATAACATTAACACAGTGAAACAAGCAAAATATTTGCAAAGCAACACGTGCACTGTCGACGCTTTGGATTCTTTTGTCGCCCCCCTCCCCATCTATACGTCACCAAAACAAGTTGAAACGCTACGTTGATGAAGGTTAGACATCCAGGTAAACAACACTCATAGGAAATTCAAACTCTACTACTGGATAAATTACGGAAGTAATACTCGGACGTTTCGAGTGACACCTACCACTCTTTTTAAGCGTCACCAAACTATGAACTATTACATAACAGAACTCGATAAAGCTACTGGAAAAACGCGGTTGAACATGACAAGTTGAAACGTTCCAGGTAGCGACTTTTTAGAGAAACCACGGTCCAAATAATTTGACTCACCGATGGCCAAGGTGATGAAGACCATCTGGATGGCCATGGACACGAAGGACAGGAGCCAGAGAAACCACATTTTGATGCCAAAGTCACAAAATCGACCGACAAACGAACCAACTGAGGCTCCCCTGTACAACACGTCTAAATCCTGGTAGCATTTGGAACATGCTACTTTACAACGAAGAGCAGCAACATAAAAAGTCTGTACTTGTAGTTTTACGTCCATAAACCTTGTAAACATTTGATAATTCATTTTTTCCACGCTTGAAATCCATTTTGATACGTTTCATGCGCAAAATTTGCTGAAATATAGTTTTCAAAGGAAGATAAAAAGGCAGTGAAAATTTCTTACCTTCCACGTGAATGGATTATTCTAGTCATCCCGTCATGCAGTTTTGCTGCCCTACTTCCTACTTCCGGGTTCAGAGAAAGTTCACAATTTTCTGTATTTCATCCTGTTGTGCAATATGTAGGATTACATATATTACGCGCGTAGGTAGAGCTGGTGACCTTAAACGGGTTAGAGTAAGTGTACGTATAGCGCTCGTACTTCTCCAGTCGTTTGATACGAGCAAGGAGAGAACTTTGAACAGGTAAGTAAAGAAGTTTTCGACGCTACGTAAAACCAGTTAAAGTTTCTGAAAGTCATCAGGTTGAATGATCTTGAATTTGTCTATATGTACAAGGAGCTTTCGCATTTAGCCTTGGTCTGTAACTTTAATATAAGGGAAGGGTGGGGTAGAGCTTCTCAAATGTACATGTAAGAAAATGAAAATTATACCGGGACACGAAATGTTCTACAACTCTTCCACTAATTCAGAACCAAAAATTCCACTGGTCACAGACGTGGAAGTATTATTTTGGGTGACTTTAGCTGCGGGTTTGTGTATCTGGTTGTCCAGACAGGGTATAGTATATATAGGTTGATAGCACGTGGGTGGTGTAATGACAAGAGGTCACCATGGTAACTTGTGCTGTAGGGGGGCCCGCATGCCCTTTTCCGTAGAGCATAATCGGCCGTTTTAATCCTACGTAGAGCGTAGACAGACCGCTCTAATTCAACATAGAGCGTAATTTGCGCATTTTGCATAGAGCGTAATTCGCCGTTTTATCTTACGCAATGCATTGTAGCTACCCGGGATTTATCATAAAGTGTAATGGAGAGGGGTTTTGAATTCAGTGCAATACGACTAGCTGGCTCTCAAAATTTAGCATAGATCGTTGTCGGGACCCCCCCCCCCCCGTGCAGGCCCCCCTGTAGCAACACCCTGTGGTGTTGGGTTATATTATGCAGAATGAAAGAAGAAGTCGAACCCCATAATAGCTAGCGTAGTAGTAGAAGTAGAAGTTTTTTCCAGACAGTTGTTACCTGTCTCCTGTTACTGTATTGCAATGTGTTTTATTCTTGATTGTAAAAGCAATTAGCCTTCGGGCATGATTTTGCGAATAAAGTTTCTATATATCATGTAGCAGAACAGCGGATGCTTACCATACATATATGAATGTAACATTACATGACGGAATTATAGAACAGTGTTGGGTTACACCAATTGCAAGGAGGTTAAAAGTACTAGTACTTGGTTTGACCAGGTGAAGGTAAGCATTATATGCATTTGCTTTCCAAATGTTACCTCTCTAGTTTTTAATAATGTTTAATAACGTAATTCTTTTTTAAATAATGTGATTGCTATGCTGTGATAAACCACATTCTCCACATTCTCATCATCTAAATGTCATGTCAGCATCATGCCTCAGCGTGGCAGCCCAGAGACACTGAAGCACCTGAGTATAGTCAGCATGGCGACTCACATGGACTCTGTATGGGCTGCTGACTACATCCACAACTACCTGGACCAGTATCACTTCATGTACATCATCGGCCCTTTTGATGCTCTTCGTAAGTATTATGGTTTATCACTGGTTTGTACAATTTTGCAGGACAGATGCTGCAGTGAGCCTTTAAAACCATAAGCCACATTATATGCATCATTGCAGCTGCACAGTTAGATCTTTAAAGGGCAGCAGCAACAATTAATCGTAGGGGAATTTTTTGTGTAATTTTTTTTTTTCATCATGAGTGTGACAATGGGGGGTGGGGGGTGGTCGAGTAGCATCCCCAGAAAAAATTGACATCTTAAACCTTTGAAATACCATTTCCTTCATTTCAAGGACAATTTTTTGATGGTACACAAAGGTACTTTAATTTAATAACACAGAAATTCCACCAACTGCCCCCATCCTCAAATCATTTTTGGGTGTGTTTGCCTGTGTCTGCATGTGTTTATACTGTGTCTCCAAGTATTTGAATAATATAGTTGTACTTGAGGTAATACTAACTTAGTTAGTAGGTAGAGGTACAATGTATTACCTCACTCCAACAGGAAATGGGGTCCAAGAAGCTGGTAGAAAGCTAGTAGACAGTTACTAGTATAGCAGTTGACATGTGGCCAGTAGAGAAATTTGCTATAAATGAAAATTAAGAAGTTCTTAAAAATGCTATTCTTAGTATTTCCTGGAGGTTTAAAATCTCTGATTTCTTGTTCTGTTTTATTTCTCCAACATAGCTTCCCATTTGATCCAAGAGCTGATAGAGTTTTTGGTGCAGAAAAGACAGCTGGGCCGGAGACACCTGCACCTGATGATCCACCAGCACCTGGAGAGTCTGCACCTGGGCAAATGTAGCAGCTGCATGACAGATGCCGTCATCAAGCTGGTGCAAATTAGATGCAAGGTAGGAAGCATATTCTTAAGCCTTGTTCATGTGAAGTCACCCAAAGTGCGATTTGGGTAACTCGCATTCCGCACATCTGGTCCACGTGTCATACATTTCTTGCAAACCGTGTCCGTGTCACGATTCTCCAAAACTGCATTCATTGTTGTTTGATGAAAACACGCAAGGTAGCGTGTTATCAATGTCAGGGGTCAACGACCTGCTTACTGATGCCCCCCTCCCAGCGTATCTCGGCCGAATGCCGACGTGGTCCCGCCAGAGGCAGTGAAGCTCGCCCTAGAACGGACACATTATTTGACCATTACTCCTCTTTAAGTTGCTGCCACGTAAAATTTGGTTAAATTTAAAAAAAAACAAAAAAAACAAAGAGGCTTTACAATACAAGTGTGTCCACTTGTTTTGCAGAAGTTGAAGAAGCTGGATCTCTCCAGATGTAACCGCCTGACGTCCTACGCCATGTCCATTGCCCTGAGTTACCTTCCCAAACTGGTCTACCTCAACCTGTACAGCACCAACTGTACCGACGAAGTTCTGGGCACCATCGGCGCGATCTGTGTCCAGCTACGAGACCTCAACATCTGTAAAACACACGTAACCGACAAGGGAATAGTCTCCCTATGCGGGGGAGGTAACGGTATTCACGGATGTAAAAAGCTACTCAGTTTAGATGTATCCTTCAATCCGAGAGTAACCATCAATGGAGTTAAACACGCATTAAGACAACTACCTAACCTCAGACAGTTACTACACAACGATGTGTGTGATGCCTTGGTCGTTTTACACGAAGAAGCTTTCAAAGAAGGGAAGACGACAACACCCTACCAGTTACGTAGCGGAACTGTGAATGATTTTGTTGTCCCTGTAAGTTTTCTCGAGATAGTTGATCTAGTCTGCCCCAACCTGGAGTATATCTTTGTACTGAATGAAAACCTTGAAGGTGATGTACTTCAGCATATATCGCGGCTAGCTCGTCTGAGAAACCTCTCGGTGTCGTGTACGGACTCCGTAGTACCGTTCAGTGAGGGACTCATGTCTCTCCTTGCGAGTGTCGGCCGTGGACTTGAAACTCTCACCCTGTACGGCTACGATGACATTGATGTCATCGCTATCGGCCAGTCCTGTCCAAACCTGAAGACCCTCACCCTCGAGAGCTGTCACGGCTTTAAACTTGAACATCCCCAAACCGTCATTCCGACTGCTCTGTTTGGTAACCTGAAATCTCTCAGGCTCGGAGTTGAGGTTATTTCTAACACCCTCGAACCAACCCTACCCAACAGTCTGAAAATTGTTCTGGAAGGCGGTCGCCAGATTGAGAACATCGAGATCACAAATGTGGAAGGGTTTACTGATGAGTTGTTCAGGCAGGTGTTAAACCAGAACAGCTTCCAGAAACTGCGAGAGTTTGCCCTGATTGACTGTAACAACATCACAGGCTCCAGCATGTTTGAACTGTTGGAAGGAAAGAATGATCTGCAGAGACTGGTGATGCTGAACTGTAAGGAAGTGATGAGAAGAGACTACGATCAGATGATGAAGGTTGTTGCCAGCGAACACTTTCAGCTTGACATAACGTGGACATAATTTTTTGGCCACACCACAGGAGTGGAGCTTGCTTCATTTGAACTAAAAAAAAATTGAAACTTGAACGGGGACAATTAAAAAAAGACATGATTACTTTCTTTGTACAAATATGCTGTAAATCTAAAGATCATACTACATTTTTCTATGTTTTTTTCCTAATTTCTATCAATTTTAGCTGCAAGTTTACAAATTTTTGGGCAACACCACAGGAGTGGAGCTTGCTTCATTTTGTCTTTGAACTAAAAAAACTTGAACGGGGACAACTAAAAAAGATGCATTATTGTGTTTGTACAAATATCCTGTAAATGTATTCTAAAGATCATACTACATGATTTGGATGTTTTTTTCCTAATTTCTATCAATCTTAGCTGCAAGTGCACAAATTTAATGACATTCTACGATACAAAGACCAAATATAAGCAAAAAATAGGAATATCCTGTTGTAATCTTATGGTGCAAACTTCATGTGAATCTTTAGAGCCCTACTCATCACCATAACTCACCTTTCCTATGTACATTGTGTATTATACAATATTGTGACCAATACAACAGTGCAATGTAACAGTGCTAAAATATTATAAGAGGCTTATTATGGGTTCACCACACCACGAAGTGGTGGTGAACCCATATTGCTTTTTCTGATGTTTCTTCTCCTCCTTCTCCTCCTTCTTCTTCTTCTCCTGCCATTTTTATGGGTTCACCACACCACGAAGTGGTGTGGTGAAACCATATTGCTTTTTCTGATGTTTCTTCTTCTTCTTCTCCTCCTCCTCCTTCTCCTCCTGCCATTTTTTAAATGGATTCAGCTTCTTCATTTTAGGGCCCAAGGTCCTGAAATTTGGTATGGAGGTACAGTGGGCAAATACCCCTAGGCGTTTTTAAATTATTGTGATACAGGCTTTTAGAATGGTTTTATTTGAGTTTTTGGCTGTATTATAGCAAATGTATTACTGTGTTAGTGTGCAGTGTTACCACATTTGGGCATGAGTCATCACAATGGAATGCAGGGCATCAACCAATAGGCATGCAGCTTTCCTCTATACTTCTTGCTGATTGGCTGTTGGGATTTAACTTGATTAACACCTGCACAGACCATTTCCACCTGCACAGAGCATTTCTTGCTGATTGGCTGTTGGGATTTAACTTGATTAACACCTGCACAGACCATTTCCATACTGACAGTATGTCTGTATTCAAGTGTTTTGGTAGGTATTTCAAGCTTTCCTGCTCCAGCATTGGAATGCGGGGCATGAACGTTTTTTTATTTATTTTGAAAATCAACAGTTTGCATTATGCAATTAAAAATCCTAACCAATAAAGTAGGAAATAGCTATCCAACTGTTGTTTTAGTTGTATGTTACTTCATATTATAGTTATATCAATGTAAATCATTGTTTTCCCTTGTGTTTCTCATTCTTTCCCTGCCATGACGTCGTAAAATGTGGTGAACCCATCGCTGTATTTGCTCCAAAGCAAATATTGGCCTTTCTAGTTTAAATGGATTCAGCTTCTTCATTTTGGGGCCTAAGGACCTGAAATTTGGTATGGAAGTACAGTAGGCGAATACCCCTAGGCGTTTTTTTAATTTTTGTGATACAGGCTTTTAGAATGGTTTTATTTGAGTTTTTTGGCTGTGTTATAGCAAATGTATTACTGAGTTAGTGTGCAGTGTTACCACATTTGGGCATGAGTCATCACAATGGAATGCAGGGCATCAACCAATAGGCATGCAGCTTTCCTCTATTCTCCTTGCTGATTGGCTGTTGGAATTTAACAGGCTTAACTTAATTAATACCTGCTCAGATCCATTCCATACTGACAGTAGGTCTGTGTTCAAGTGTTTTGGTAGGTATTTTAAGCTTTCCTGCTCCAGCATTGGAATGCGGGGCATGAACACTTCTTTTTTTTCTTGAAAATCAACAGTTTGCATTATGCAATTAAAAATCCTAACCAATAATGTAGGGAATAGTTATCCAACTGTTGTAGTCTTAGTTGTATGTTACTTCATACTATAGTTATATCAATGTAAAGCATTGTTTTTCCTTGTGTTTCTCATTCTTTCCCTGCCATGTCGTAAAATGTGGTGAAGCCATTGCTGTATTTGCTCCAAAGCAAATGTCGGCCTTTCTAGTTGTACATATTATATATACGTAATAATCTTCTTTGCAAAATTGCTAAAATCATAATGTACTAGTACATGTATATGCTTTGATTAAATGATGTGTTACTTTTTGTATAATGTGTGTTCTGCACTATTCAATTTTTTATTATTTTATCAGTAAATCACACTCAGATCTGTAACCTGCTTTTCAGGTGTCTTTGTGCATACAAAAGCTTCATACAAAAGAAAGAAAACAAATTAATCACATTACATGTCAAAATCAAAGCTGAAAAGTTCTATTTCTCTCTCTCTATTTTCATTGTCCGTTTTCAGACTATACTCTTTTATAAGTGCTCAGAAAAGTAAGCAGTATATGCCATCCCTTTAAAGCTGCATTTATTGAACATTAGAAAAATTCATTTTACTGATCATTTCTTAAGTTGAATTGCATTACTCCATTACAGATAAGTGCCATTCAGAAAGCGGAGGTGCCAGAATATGACGCAATACCAGTGTGTTCAAAAGCTGGAAACAAAACACAGCTGGTGTTTGTGGTGGTACTCACTACTACAAACTGAGTACCATAAAATGTAAGGAATGTGAGATAATTGCACAAATATGTTGAAGAAAAAGAAGTAAATTACAATCAAAAACAAAGTTTTTTTTTTCAATTGAAATATTTCAGTTTTGGTTGCAAATATGTTAGATGCCCCTAGTCTACCCAGCCGGTATTTTATCCCGTGACTCTCCGTAATCACAGACAGCACTGTTTTCACTTATTACCGGCGGAATAGTGCAATAATTACTGTTTATTTACTAAAGTTTCGGTGACCGTGCAGTTCCTCTTGATGCCAGGATAAAGAAAATATCCACAAATACGAATAAAAATCCCCCAAGACGATTGAAAAACCCAAGACAAATAAAAGTCCCCCATGACGACCAAAATCCCCTCATGCAAATTCAGCTGCAAATGTTCGGTGACATGACATATAGATATGTTTCAAAGCATTTTGCAGCACAGAAACTGGTCTATCCAGCAGATGTCTGGTTCCCCGAAATCAAATACAGTACTCTGTTGTTGTTTTTTTAAATCATAAAACCTTGACTCATTTAAGCTATCTATACATATGTTTATGCTTTGTTTTTACTTAAAAGTATGTACATAGAGTAGAAAAAAATTGCGACACTTAAAAACAAAACATGTATGCACTACAAAAAATGGAAACCCTTACAATGTATCTTGTTTTGTAATATCAACTGATTGCTATCACAAGTATTTATCCGTCAGTGTATGTACACCTGTATGTTCTAGTTTTTTTGTATAATTTTTTTATCTGAGTAAAGTTTGAAAAAGATTAATACAAAATACAGTACTGTGTTCACTTGGCTAGAGGTGCCATGTTTACTGTTTACAAAAAGCGGAACTCCGAAGTTTCAGCGACTCAGCAGTTCCTCAACTCAAGACAAATAAACTCTCCAAAGACGACTTGAAAAACCCACGACAGATAAAAATCCCCTTATGCAAATTTTGCCAACGAATTCCGTTCACATGAGTAAGTGACACTTATAGTTAAGGTTGGGGATTGAAAGTATTTTTCAGCACAGAAAGTGAGGTGGCCACTAAGTTCTGTAGCCTATAATTACACATTGTAACTCAGAAGATAGTTTAGATATTGTTGAGTCTAAAACTCGCCGAGCATAGTCAATGCATTACGAGTTTCGCGCAGAATAAGTACGTTCTGTCGACGTGCTGTCACGAAAGGTCACTGTATATATAGTGATGTCACATTGGGAATCCCCTGACACACCTTGCAAAAAGCGGAACTCTTCCTCGTTTCGATGAGTCATCTGTTCCCCCAGGTTATACCTTTGCACCAGTGGCGTAGTCAGTAGTAGTAGAAAACATCTCGAACCATGCGTACCAGACCAGTGCTTCTCTTGTGCGTCTGCCTTGCTGTAGTCCAACACAGAGCGGTTACCGGCACTGCAAGTGTGCTTACACATGGTGATATACATGTAGCTTCAGCTACAAGTTGTACGGAGAGGCTAGCAAACGTCAGCGATGTTACCGGGGTCGCTGTCGATTGCTCACGGGGAAATTTCTCAGCCGTACCGACCAATATCTCGTCGCTCTCCGTGGTTTTGGATCTGAAGCACAACCGGCTGCGCTCCGTCAACCGGGACAGTTTCAACGGTCTCGTCAGTCTAAAGGTACTGAATTTATCTTACAACCAGATAAGCACAATCGAGCACGGTTCTTTTACGGATCTGTCTGAACTTTCCGAACTGTACCTTGACCACAACGGCATATCGTTGACAGCGAAGAACATTTTCAAGGGGTTGTCTCGGTTAGAAATCATTGATTTGTCTTCCAATCGTATAGCCCAACTTGGAGACTCTGCTTTCAATGGAGTTGGCGCTACCTTGAAACAACTTGGGCTAGGGAACAATTACCTCGGCAGATTCTTTTCCTTCAAAAAATCCTACCGAGCATTTAAACAACTTGCAAATCTCACACACCTTGACCTAAGTAACAATGGGATTTATGACTTTCGCTCAGATGTCTTTCGATTTCAGTCAAATGTCCGGTCGTTGAATTTAGTAGGAAATGCTCTTCGTGACAGTAGCCTTTTTATCGAAGTACATAATGACACGGACCCTAGTGAGCTTAAATATTTGCACCGGGCATCGGTATTTCACAGTTTACCAAGTCTGAAATCTGTAAAACTAAGCCACAATAGGCTTACACGATGTTGTGAGGCATTCAATGGACTAAACGACTTAAAATATGTAGACCTCCAGTCCAATGCTATATCGTATCTTGAACCTGAAAACATAACAAAGGTCTTGCCGAATTTGAATGAGTTCTATTTGAGGGGAAACCCCTTTGATTGTAGCTGCAGGGCTGCGACATTCTTTCGATGGGTCGATGACTCACCTGTTATTTCGGACTATTTGAACTGGACTTGTCAACAACCAGAGTCGGTGATAGGGGAAAAATTCAACGAATTAGAGTTTCGTGAATGCGTGCAAGAATCATATGCATATAAATGGTATCTCGTTGTTATTTGCCTTGTTATCCTAACTGTGATAGTGGGTATTGTTGTCTTGAAATGGCACTGGCATGTAAGATACAAGTTCCGACATTTTTTCAAAGATGATGACATGAACATTGAACTTGAAGAACGTAAATATGATGCTTTCGTCAGCTACAGTTCACATGACAGTGACCGGGTTATCCGTTCACTGGTGCCACATCTAGATTCGCTTCAGGTTAAGTCTTGCATCGCTGAGCGTGATTTCATTGCTGGTATACCAATAGCAGAAAACATTGTAGCCAGCATCGAACAGAGTAGACAAGTTATCCTTGTTATCTCGAGAAATTTCCTCAAAAGTGATTGGTGCAAGTACGAACTCCAAATGGCCGAGTATAAACATTTCACCACCGGGGAGAAGTATGTGATCCCGATATTACTAGAGGAAATACCCATAGAAATGATGCCAAAGAGTTTGCGGTATTTGCTAGCTACAAAAACGTACCTCGAATGGAAAGATGGAGAAAAAGAAGAAGGCCTGTTCTGGCGTAGGCTTGGCAAAGCGTTAAAGGCGAACAAATCCCGATCACAAAGACAGGAGCAAATTCCTATCAAGCAGACAGGAGACATTGAGGTTGACGTCGTCGCCAGATCATCTCTATCTCCGATAACATCACCAACGCATCGTTCTGACACCGACGATGACGTCGACGTTGAGCCTGAGAAACAAGGGGACCATGAAACGTGCGTTAAGCTGGATAACTCTCTTAAAGAAACATGTACTGACGACCAAGCAATAGACATCACAGCTAAGGGTCCCCACATTGACGACGACCCATCCTCCGAATGCCAGACTGTCTGTTCCGACGTCTACACAGAGAATCCAGTAGTTGAAGACGTCAAACTGATGACCAAAGCAAGAAGGAGAGATCTCTCAACGTTTTTCGCAGGCATAGTTGAAAAAGGTCGCCACGTATTTTTCACTACGTTGTTTCGTTTCAAGTACACCAAAACGTCGTCTTTCCATCATAAAGCGCCACCAATGAGCGATTCGGAAGCTACAGCAGAGCCGTTCTTGCCAAAAGTTGTCCAGGAATCATACACCGAAGAACATGCTCACATAGCGTGTTGTCAACAAGAGCCAATCTACCAAAACTCGTGGTTTCTCTACCACGCTACAAGGATACGAACCAAGGAACCACTACCACCTGTTCCAGTCGAGCAAGATGACACCTCTCTCAGCATCTCAGAGCCACAGACGACCGTAGTGCACATGGCCGCCATTGAACAGTACCAGTCTCCGATGCCAGTCTATGAAGAAATACCTTGCCATGGGTATGAAAGAAGCCTTGTACCGTACGGAGAAAATTTAAAAGAACTCCAAGCGGTGCAACAGCAGCCACGCCTGAACGTAGTTACCTCGTCCCTGGCCACTGGCATCTTCGACTCGGAAGGGGGTCATCTGGTCATCGAAGGCACGGGCGTTAGGCTCTTCATTCCCCCGGGCGCGATCAAGGATGGCACAGAGCAACAAGTCACCATCTCCATCAGTTCGGACGAGTGTGACAAGCCGACTCTGGCGGAGGGACAGGCTAGGATAAGCCCGGTGATCAGGTGCAGCCCGCACGGCATCACCTTCCAGAAAAGCGTGGCTCTATCCTTCCCCCACACAGGAGAAACATCCAAAGGCAAAGTCATACATCCTCTCATAACAAATACAGACAGAGGCCAAGAGGCTGGATACGAGGACATGAGGAAAGACGACGGTGCTCGTGCCATAGTTAGGAAGTCAGACTGCGTGGTGTTCCTCGATCATTTCACGGGCGTCACACTCGTGGAGAAGAGTCCGTGTCCTGATGAGGGTGCAAAGGGGGGCAGCGGGAGTGATGACAGCACCGACAAGCCTCTGTACGCCATCCCCTTTTGGAGCCTCACCTCCAGCGGTGACGTTGTTGTGCGTGTGAGGCTGTGTCAGAAGAGAGATGACGCTAAACAGGTACGTGTACGTGGTTTCTGACACTAATGCATGGTTAGTACATGTGTACTGCTAATCCATTGTATTCAAGGCAGCTGTAACAGTAAGGCAGGGCATATCTTTTTTTCCTGTAGATTCTAAATTTCTTGGTTTTGTCATTCTGCAACATAAGAATCGTTATCCAAGATTTTTTTATTTTTATTTACGGCATATAACTGCTCATTTTGCAGCTACATTGTACGATTTACAGTATGGTCGATTTTTTTTGGGAAACGAACAAAAACTCATGCGCGCGCGGATGTCATCCATATAATAAAATTAACATGGCCTTACTAACACCACCTGGAAGTGTGCTGAAATCTCAAACTTCTTGTTCTCCCCAGACTGCCTACGGGGATGAGCAGGCCTGTGGAGGCAGACCGTGTGACGGACCTCCCGTAACTCTGTACGTGCAGGTGAGGAATGGCACCAAGGCTCGCGTACAACTAGTAATGGACAACGTCAGACCAGGGTGGGCAAGCGTCGATGGTCTTGAGAAAGTAAGTACATTTAATGGATGTTTAGATACATATGAATTGATGTTGCGCAATGCAACAGTGATGTACAAGTGAACTTCTATCACGTGGTGAACACGGGCGGGGCACGACCTGTCTTAGCCAATCACAGTGTAAACCTGATCCGCCCTAACCAATCGCAGTGCAGATCTACGCGTGCTTCTAAATTTGCCGCGTCTTTCAGAATTTCTCGGTCCACTCGAACGAACCACGGCAGCGATGGGTCAGAAAAAAATTCGTGCAGCGGTTTTGAGCTTCCTTTTGCGGAGAGACGGTCGTCATTTGTTCATCGTGACTTGTGCAGCTGTTGGTTGGTTCTGTGTTGACCAATTTTTCTGGTATGAATGACCGCGCAGGTATGCATAAAACCTTTTCGTAATACAAAAATATAACGTTAATTATGCACAATGTTTACCTTCACATGGCCGCCGGAGATAGACCGATAGCCGATGTGAGGGTTCAGAATGGTATAGCCTAACAAATTACTGCTCTGTTTATTCTTACTCATACACATTGACCGTGACAAGTGTCTTCCAGTTTGACCTGCATCTTGCTACGTAATGTTATCCGATACAGCACACAGGGTGTTAGATAGATTTCGTGCATGAATGTGTGAATACAAGTTGGAATGGGTGGAAGGCTTAGGGTTACTAAAGATAATAGCAGATGTTACAATCAGGACAAAAGGTGGTTTCTGTAGTGAGCCTTGAATTCCCTGAGTTTGGGAGAGTCGGTAATGTGTCTGGGTAGACTATTTCGGGGCCGGGATGTGTAAGGGATGAAACTATTCTTGTAGACGTTGGTTTTGAAACTGATGATAGCATCTTAATGAAGATGCTTCTCTTCACAGGTTATTGACTGTCGCAGGATCTTCACCGATGACGAAGTGCAACAGTGCAGCTTCCTTCTGGAGAGATGCAGTGATGGTGACGGTCACAACTCCAACAGGTTCCGCTGCCGTCTTCAATTCATCCCGGAAGGAAACGAAGATGCACAAACCACCTACGTGTCAGTCTTGACAGACGAGGTAAATAGAAAATGAAATTACCATATGTTTGAGGGTCTGCGTGGGGGGAGGGGCGACAATGCTCTACGTTAATCGACCTTGATTTTTTTTTTTCGTTTATACGATAAAACTAGTCAAGATGTGAAACTTGGCCAAATTTTATTCCACAAATCCGAACGGTTGCTGAGATTTCGGCAACTCTGCACTTCGGCACCTGTCGTAGGGCTAGGTCCCGTACAAGGCCCTAATGACGGACCATTTAATGGTCTTCTTATCAGGTCAAATTTACTATTCCAGCCGACTTTTTCTGGCTAGCGTGTATCATTGTTGTATCCTCTCACGTTCTGAGTGATTTGTACTTAGTGTAAGCCGTTTTTACGGCAGAAAAAGGGGGGGGGGGCGGATAATTACTGTGTTCTGCGACCTTAATTGTTGAGAGCCGGCTACGTATTACGCTGAATCGAGGAATTCAGTTTTACATTAAATTCAGATGGCTGCAACGCATTACGTAGCTTCAAATGGCGAACTACGCTCTACGCGAAATGCAGCGATTACGCTCTACGTTGAATTACAGCGGCCTGTCTATGCTCTACGTAGAATTGAAACGGCCGATTATGCTCTACTAAAAAGGGCACATGCGGGCCCTCATGTTTGCACTCACGTGACCATGGCGTTAGAATAGTCCGCCATGATGGATGGTTAAACCAGCACGTCGGCAGAACGTACTGCGTCTGCGCGTAACCCACAATGTCATAGCGCTTTGGCAGAACGTTTGTATAGGCGTATGACAATCCGTCTACAATTTTTTTCGGACAATGATCCGTTGCAACGTTGACGCCGGCGCAGTGCGCTCTTTCTGATGTACTAGGCGCGTTTTATCACCCACAGAGCAGTCATAGCTGTACTAGTACTGTATTTGATTTCGAGGAGTCGCGGGTTCAAGTACCGGCGACACTGGATATACCAAAACTCCACTGTAAAATACTTTCAAACCCTTTTATACATCTCACTACATTAGGCAATAGCAAGTAATTCAATGGATAACATCGGGTGGGCATTAATTTTCACCTGTTTTTTGTGAGTTTGAAAAAAACAACAATTTTTTGCCCTCTGACAGTGGTCAACATGCCGAAAACGGGCAAAGATGTCTGTCTATGATGCAGTCATGCATGTTATTTATTTGATAATAGTTATATATAGTAAGCACTTATGATTTCATTTGCAATTTATTTATCCTGTGCATATTGTTCAGCCCCTACCGCTCAGTCCAAAACAAGACTTTGCCGTCAGACCCAAAAGGCCGCCGTGCTTGCCTGTAGGGGCGAGGAAGGAACTCTGCCGGCTTCTGGACCCCAGTAACCCACTGGGGAACGACTGGAGAATGCTCTCCTGTGAGTTAAACTTGCAACTGGATAGCTACGACATCCAGCTGTTTGAAGAACACAGTGACAAGAGGAGCCCAACTTTCCAGATCCTAACGCTCTTTGAGCTGGACTATGGGCATCTCCCCCAGGTCGGTCAATTAAAAAATAATCATAATAGTTAAGGGTTAATGACCCGCCCCGAGGTGAATATGATGTGATAAAGCCTTGTCAGTTGCTATAACCACCGGATGAAGCCAGCGAGTGAGCGCAGCGAACGAGGTGGCTTTATGACAAGGCTTTAAGACACCTTTTTTCACCGGGCTGGCCATTAACGCTATTATCATATAGCCTATCAAAACTTACACAGTAAATTGTGACACATTCCTGTATAACACATACAATTTAAATTATATAACAACCCGTTACAGTCACTCCTCTATCTTACCACCCGCTGGCCACTGTTCCTGTGCGTCTTTCACCGATTCCAAGGACCCACATATTGAGTCTAAATTGGCCTCAATCAGTTCTTCTATGACAAATTCTGACTCAAAACTGAAAAGTACAAAAAAATCCTTCTTGCCTTCTGCTGTTCTCTCTTGGAACAAGATACCCCAGACCGCCAAAGAATCCCTATCCATTTGTGCATTCAAAAATGAATTAGAGTCTTGCTTTGATAGCATGCCCAGACATCCTCACTACTCTCACGGCCACGGACACCATGTGACTCACCTTACCAGACTCAAACTTGGTTTCAGCCAGCTGAACTACCACCTATTCCAGCATCACTGTATCACTAGTCCCGAGTGCAAATGTGGGCATCCAAATGAGACCCCAGATCATCACTATTTATTACACTGCATATTTCATAAAACTGAAAGGACCAAAATGTTGTTATCCATATCTTGCCTTCATCTTGGAAACATACTTCCTTCCGACCCACTCAATGCAAACGACGCCACATTCTGTACTTTACTTCTTACAGGTAGCCCCTCCCTCCCATACACTACTAACTGCCGTATCTTTACCTTCGCCAAGAAGGTTATGTTTTCGTAGGCGTTCGTATGTTTGTCTGTCTGTCTGTCTGTAAACACGATAACTTGAGAAGGCTTAAATGGATTGACTTCATATTTGGTAGGTTGGAAGGTCTTGATGAGACCTCGAAATGATTAGATTTTGGGCCCCCTGGCAGCTTCTTATGGTACTGCAGCTGAACTTCCAGTTTTGATATCTCGTGATCTAGACGTGCTAGGATCACGGAATTTGGATGGTAGGTAGGTCTTGTGCTGGGGAAGAAGTGACATAGGTTTGTGCCCCCTAGCGGCTTGCTCAGGTACTGCAGGGGCATTTCTTTTAAAATATTAATAAGAGGATACCTCAAGAACCGGTGGACGGATCGTCGTGATTTTTCGTATGCAGGTAGCTTAAGTGACGCTTGACATGATTATGCGACAATTATGCAAATCTGGATGTAATTTGCATAATTAATGAGGAAATTCTATAAATCAGCTACATTACATTATAGGACTATTCAAGCCTGTGACATATGTAATTGAGAACGAAACACAGGCAGATATTGATTATGTAAATTAACACTTAATTTGCATGATTAATGACAAAATGTTATACTTCCATAATGGTAATTGCCTGGAATTTCATACTTGGGGTATTTGAAATTTGCATAATTTATGAGAAAATGATAGAATGGCTTTCTTTGTTAAAGGTAAAGCTGTATTTTGATGGCGAATATGATCAACTGACATAATTCATGCAAATGAGGATCCTATTTGCATAATCAGGAGGAATAATATTTACTCTGTCAGTCATAAAGATTAACATCATTTGGCGAAGGTCGTGGGACTCTAGTTGATATTGTGTTTAACTATATCCACCACTCTGGAAGATTTGACCAATCTCAATAATGTTATGCTATAGGTATTGGTACCGGTGCGCCAGCCACTTTCATTTTATGTTGATGTTATACTTTATGTCATCTTTATGTTTACATTTGTATTATGTTTTATGAGCAGAGGATTTACATAAGCACAACAAGTGCTTCCTATCTAATGCTCAAAAATCCATGGGAATAAAATTTAAAAAAAAATTCTGACATGTAGCATTGTCTATTGTATACCCTTTAGTGTGATCTTTTTACCTGTTCTATCAGAAATCATATGAGTTCACCGGAACTTTGGAACAGAACCGGTATTCAATTTGTGGTTATTTTGGGCCAAAAGAATAGAGCAAGCTTCCAATTGAAGTCATCTGAGGTCATTTGGATGTTTCAATACAGAAATGTGGGAGTGGCGCGAAACATGTTTTATTTTTTCCGTTCGCATGTATTGACATGGTCTTTGTTATGTATTGCTAAGTAAACAGGTTGATGACAAGACGGTAAACATTTCTACCGTGGCCGACAAGAACAAAATTTTACACCGCAACTTTTGGTGTTTTACACCGCAACTTTTGGTGTTTTACACCGCAACTTTTGGTGTTTTACACTGCAACTTTTGGTGTTTTACACTGCAACTTTGGGTGTTTTACACTGCAACTTTGGGTGTTTTACACTGCAACTTTTGCTGTGTTTTACACTGCAACTTTTGCTGTGTTTTACACTGCAACTTTTGGTGTTTTACACTGCAACTTTTGCTGTGTTTTACACTGCAACTTTTGCTGTGTGGAAAACTTACATCCCTCCCCTTTTATAATGGACGGTCCCCCTGTCAGGTCAAAGGTGACAACGATGGCATGCAAACTACGTCGACTGAGTTATCCTTTTCGTGCATAAGTTTTTTAGAGGAAAAGCTTGGCTACGTTGTGACGTTAGTTTTTTTTCTAAAGGCCTTTGAGTCACGTGACATTTTCTAGCTAGAGAATTCGGACTCGCAAGGTCGCTAATAATTTGATGAGTAAATATTGGGCCTATGGGAGTCAAGTGTGGCACCACTTGGTACTATGAAGCAATAAAGACTTATTTTCAATTATGAAGTGTTGACTCTTGACTCAGGTAAGTTATCGATCATTAGGGAACAATACGAGCGATCGCCATGACGTCACCGTAGGCAAAAAGTGGGTGCCAGTTGGCTGATTTGCCTACCAAGAATTTGCATATGTCTTCAAATAATTTGCATGCGTATAATGTAAACAAAAACAGCGATCGCTCGTATACAAATGTAGAATAATATTGTATACAATATTTATAGTTAATAAGACATCTAATCAATGTTAATTAGTCAATCACTAATCTTTAAACTGTCATCATGGAGGCAATACAGTGTTGTGTAAGTATAGTAAAGTTAGAACACAAAGAAGAACAGACAGAATTATAAATCATCAATTTATTCACAGCTTGATCAATTTCTTAAGATCCCATTCTGTTGATGTCTCACACTCAGTCACAGCACGACACTGTGACTCTCAGGCCGCCGCCATCTTTGTCACCTTTGACCTGACAGGGGGACCGTCCATTATGAAAGGGGAGGGGTGTAAGTTTTCCACACAGCAAAAGTTGCAGTATAAAACACAGCAAAAGTTGCAGTGTAAAACACCAAAAGTTGCAGTGTAAAACACCAAAAGTTGCAGTGTAAAACACAGCAAAAGTTGCAGTGTAAAACACAGCAAAAGTTGCAGTGTAAAACACAGAAAAAGTTGCAGTGTAAAACACCAAAAGTCGCAGTGTAAAACACCAAAAGTTGCAGTGTAAAACACCAAAAGTTGCGGTGTAAAATTTTGTACTTGTCGGCCACGGTACATTTCCATTCAACAAGGAAACGTGCTACAAATGCCAGCAAAAAGAGTCCACTCCCTTGCATAATGGTTTGCTCCAGGGTGTGCATTATTCTGCAACAAAGCACACTTGTGAGAATACAGCACACTTGGGAGGATTTTGCAATACTTGTATCATGCTAACTGTGACATTATGGTGTCGAAATCAATATGAAATGGGGGCTTCTGATTGGTCAACGCCAACTGGCTATATGATTATAAGACTTAATGTGTTATAAGCTGTTTTACAATTTACGTAATGTACGGGACATGTAATTCAGCCTTCAGGCTGTGAAATTTTCTTAGAATAAAAACCCATATAATAATTAGTACTTCCACCTAACGTTACAGCAAATAGCGACTGTAAGGCAGCAAATTGCTCTGTTTCTTCTTTTTCTTCTCCTAACATACAAGGTCAATGACCTGGACCAAACTTCTGTTACCATGGTACGTAACTGGTGCTGTAGAAGATGGTGGATTACATGTACATTTATGAAGCAGGACAGAATTTGGAGGGGGTGGTCACTACATCCATGCATGCGAATGTGTAGTTTTGTTAGGCTAGACGTAGGCCATGTAAAGTTTGGTCGATGAAGGTGAGACACCAAGGTAATACGATACGGCAAAAAAGCAGTTACTCATTGACAAGCAACTGGATATGATTTGGGAATGTAAAGGTTGCTTTTCAAATATTGACTCTCTATATAGATGCTCTTAGATTTCATTGAGCAATTTTCGATCTAATTAATTAATCAAAAACGTTTTTATTCAATTATCTGACAGGTGCAACAACTTCATGCTCTACGCAAAGTGCTGGCAGAACCACCGATGGGCAGGCCGGACGCGTCCCGACTTGTAGAAAACGTAATTTCTCAGCACTTTGCCGAGGATGGTGCTACTCCATCCGTAGCACATGATCACGACCAGCACTGCGACCCTGCAGCATCTAACACAATGTCCAGGCTGACAGGCGACAGGTATTACTCTCCATACGCTGCACCTTGTGCCGTTCAACCAAAAATACCCACAGCAACGAACATGCGCCCGGACCCGCTTACTACCAGTAGCACAGCTAACACGTCCCAACTGGATGATGCACCAGAAGAGACAACGTTGAAGAAGACTCATCTCCCAGAGACTGACAGTGACCAAGCATGCAAACAAGAGTCCCAAAGTACTGCGGTATGCACACCTCTCAAAGTACCGGATAGAAACGCTAGCTTAGCCACCAGTCAGGTAGAAGATACGCCAAGTCATACTGGTGCTACTGCTTCAACCAAGAGGATGCAAGTCACAAAATCGGACGATGAACTGATCATTGTGGAGGAAGAGCGCATCAGAAGTGAAGACGATGTAGAGTTACTTTCATCTGAAGATTCACCCAACTGGACGGATGACAAGAAGCTTAAGAAGAAGCATGATGTTGTTGACACACACACGTATGGTGACCTAGGTAAGGAATGTCTTGCCCGATCCAGAACAGGGATGCATCCCATTGAGGAAGAAAGTGTATCTCTCCTAGATGAAACTGATGCCTAGTAGTCTTCTTTAAGATTTTGAAGTTTAAGATGATGAAGTTTAAACACTGTAATTTCAACACAAGACCTTGAAGGTAAGCAAATTTTCGACGGAACAACTGTCAACTTCTTTGTCAAGAAACGAACAATCCACCACTTCACTTCTGTTATGCAAAATTGACACAAGTGACTTGGTGAGTTGATGGTCACACATTGTAGTACGATACATTCCAGGAATTATTGCCATGTCCTACTACCATATCTGCTTACTAGGTCAATTTCTGTACACCTTATTTCATAAGCGAGACCAAATCATCAATTCATCAACATATTGTGACTCATATAGTGTATAGATAGTAGTTTGTAGTAAGAAATGTAATAAGATTGTATTACTGCCACACATTGTACCATGTACGATTGTCGAGCAATAAAGTTCATTCATTCACATTGTAGGTTGTAAAACATCGGTGGTACCCACGTCTTTGTTAAGGAATGGTTGCATTGCTCATTCCTTAACAAAGAGTTGTACAGTCAAAAAATGTGGGTAAGTCCCAATTTCTTTTGTTGAAAATTACTTTAACCCTATTCAGACGGGAGAGGGGGGGGGGGCTTTTGAGGTAGCTACGTTTACTAATACTGAGCTATAAATCTATTGACATTTTTGCTACTTTATTAATGTCATCGTGTACATAAAAGTGTGGTGTGATTTTAACAGCGTATTTGGCATACGTTGTACTTAATATGTAACATAAATGTATATGAACTTACAAACTAAGGAATGGGTGTATAGTAGCATTTGCGGAAAGACCATACATATAAGGTATAGAATCCCAGATATAAGTAGTTTGGACTGAGTTAGTTCAATTCCAGTTTTTAACTGCTCGGGTTTTCTTTCTGTGTGTGAAAAGAAATTAAAGAGTTTATTTCAATCTGTGTCATTGTTAATGTGTATGTTGTTAGGTCAGCATTAGTACTCACGTGACTATGACGTCAGCGTTGTTCGCCATGTTTTATGGTTAAACTTGTAAGTTGCTTAGTAGAGAGTGATTGCACAACTTGCTCTCTGAGGTACAGCAGTTTATGCATGTCACCCAACAACGTAATTCACGTTTTCTCAGATGGGCGGATGCCTACACGTTTCCATAGAAACACGTCTGCCTTCCTTCTGGCGCGAAACTTGGCCTATGACCTTTGACGTCACTGGCACGAGCTCCCCTAATGCAGTAACATGAACCACTTGTTAGGGGGCAAGTTTTTGGGGACGGTCCGTTAGATTTCTGCAGGGCTGGTGAGTCAGGGAAAATTCAGACTTACTCCGAATGAGAAGAAGTAGAGGCAAAGTTCTGCCACCATAACGGTTTATCCCTGAGTGTTTCCAGATGCTCAGTCCCACAACTTGCGGTTTCGCCTGCTGGTTTCCTCAGGTTTGATACGGTACGTGCTTGCGCTAACTCTCAGCTTTTGAATGCAACGTTAGTTCTTGTCAACCTAACAATCACATCTTTCTTTAGCTTTAGGCCATGTTGATTTGATTATATGGATGACATCCTCTGGGAACCCCAAAACTGGTGCGAGCGTGCAAATAAAAAAAGTTTAAAAAGTTGCCCCCCCCCCCCAAAAAAGTTGCTTTCATGATGAAATCTATATGTAGTCATTAAGGTTGAACAAATGACACAGAGTATGGTATGGCGAATGATCTATACATTTTCTTTTTTTTTTTGTTTGATTTTGGCATTGGTATCGTTTTCCAATATTTTTTTGTAACTTAAGGTATATATTTGCTAATTTTGCTAATTAACTGTTTTGAACGATTTACAGTATGGTTGAAAACTTTCTTTTTCGGAACGGCCGAAAATTCATGCGCGCGCGGATGTCATCCATATAATGCTGTTTTGAACGATTTATCTTTGAACGATAACATCTGTTTTGAACGATTTACAGTATGGTTGAAAACTTTCTTTTTTGGAACGGCCGAAAATTCATGCGCGCCTGGATGACATCCATATAATCAAATCAACATGGCCTTAGCTGACATGCCAAGTAAGTAATCAAGGTTCCGTACACAGACATAACAACACGCCTCCAGAGCTCGCTGTATTGTAGTGAAAGGTTCAAGGCCTGATTTACTGGTCACGCCTGTCTTTAAAGACCAAATAACACAATAAAGTCTGTAAAATACCGAAATATCGGAAGTGTACATACAATATAGTCACTTCAAGCTTGTTCCAATCATAATGACTGAGAAACTGAGCTTGTACGGCCTTCTAAAAGTGAATTTTTGGAGACTCTCTAGCAAGCTTCCCAATCGCCCACTTCGGGCATCTCTGTTTGCATCTGTGTTTTATTTTTACATTTCTGTGCTTTTTCCTGAGCTGACATCACTGGATGACGTCAGCTCAGGAAAAATACAGATATGCAAAAATAAAATGTAGAGATGCAAATCGCCAGTACTGGCTTGTGCTGACTTTTCCAAGGCAGGGCATTAGAATTTCGAATGTAACAGAAGAACCATGCATATTTATTATAAATGTGTCTGATAGCCAGGTAATACTAGTTATGTTAGTTACAATCAGCCAAGGTCATGAACACTTTAAAGTCGTTACTTGTGGACCCCATACACGCCCAGCCTTATGGGTGGATTTAGTTTGGACTTCCTCCTCTTTCTCTGTCACTTCTACCATGAGTTTTGTGGAGGAAAGATATGATTCTAGACAAATATCTAATAACGCGTGGAAATATTTACATCTCGACAACAGGACACATGTCAGATCTTGTCTGAGGTTCAAGAAATGTGAAGTGTGGTCCTTACCTTGGTGCTGATCGCCTCACCCAGAGAATAGAGTGCACTTTGCAAATCAGTCAGTAGAGGACGCTGCTGCACAGTGCTGTTCATGGCATGGCATGGAGGAAAACTTAAACTAAATTTGTTACATGTCTTATGGAATAAGCGTCATTTCCACGGTTTTGTCATTTTTATGACGTTCTAATCAGAATTCCAAGATTTTTCTAAACGTTTGTAGCAATACCGTTATTTTTTACCGGTCATTGGGCTAGGAAGAAAACAATGCACACACCCCTTACAAAATACAGTATGCTGTATTCCAGGCATCATAAATAGCCTTTCAATTGAGATCACGCAGACCTTAGCAAGACATTGAGGTACAAGTTACATTATTGAAGTCCTCACAGATCATTAAACATATTCCGCCTACACATATGAACGGAAATTGTTTCATTCTATTTTAATGTGCTCCTTCATGCGTCCTTTTAATTAAGAGGCTACCTGAATATTCATATCGTAAACTGCCAAGCTTATCTTTTCAGTGTTGTACCAATTTCAAATTACGTTTTAGAATTAACGGTATATCATGGTAAATTTGTCTGACAAAAGAAATGGTCAATTAAAAATGAAATATTGACAATAAGGAAATGTGCAAATTGTTTCATTAGGTTTCTTCTTACGTCTTCTTATTATAATAAGCAAAACAGTGTGCAATGTACAATCAGGTACCTTCAGTGTTGTAAAATTGCAAACACACTTTTTTCATTGTGCTGTTTTGAAATTGGAGATAAAGTTGCTAACGATCATTTGAAATGAGGAAATTGACGTGAAAGTTATTTTCAGCAACCATGTGCACTTAATGGATTTATATAGATACCTATGGGGTCATGAATTGATGTCGCGCAACAGTGATTTACAAGTGGACTTCTATCACGTGGTGAGCACGGGCGGGGCACGACCTGTCTTAGCCAATCACAGTGTAAATTTGATCCGCCCTAACCAATCGCAGTGCAGATCTACACGTGCTCCTAAATTTGCCGCGTCTTTCAGAATTTCTCGGCCCACTCGAACGAACCACGATAGCGACCGGTCAGAGAAAAATCCGTGCAGCGGTTTTGAGCTTCCTTTCGTGGCTTATGCAGCCTTTTCTTCGTGACTCGTTCAGCGGTTTTGGGCTTGAACCTGCATGCGGAAAGGCGGTCGTCATTTGCAGCATTTGGGGCTTATTTTGCGGTGAGTTGTTCGAACCTTTTTGTATAGTCAAGGCGGAAGCCTCCCTAACAGATATGTGACAAGCTTATGTGACATCTGTGATCACGAAATGGCGAAGATTCCATTTTTGGAGCCACCACCGCATTACTGCCTTCCTTGTTTCAACAGGATGGCTTCCATTTCTCTGACTACGGGAATTTCTTGTGTCTCAAAAGCATCCGGGGGCCATCCTAAAGGCTTTAACCTCAATAAAAATGTTGTTTGTTTCACCTCCTGACACTTTCGGTGGGTTACCGTGGTGCCAGGGATGGATGCCCACAAAATGTGCTATTTTTATGACACAAACCCTCATAGAAAATATCCCTCAGACTCTATTTCTAACTTAGATTGTTTCTGTAGATCATTTTAAACCAAAATCTAATAATTTGTTTAGGGTTTTCCAGCCAACTGCACCTCTCACGGCACTTAAACGATTCCCTTGGGTATTAGCTATATGTTAAGTTTCTTTCCTGTAGTTTCTTTGTCGGTTCTTTGGGTTTATATTGTTATATTGGGGGTTTGGGGCCTTGACCGCGGGTGTCTCTCCTGACGCAAAAGCTCCCTTTGATGGTTTTGCCAGAGTCTCTCAGTTTATGCCTGTATTTTCCAACGTTAAAAAATCTCTGTTATAATGCTAAACTCTGATTTTGATGTTTTTTGACTGTTTGTTGACAGCCTGCGGGTCACGTGGCAGACATGTTTAAGAATTCTGTTATAACTGAAGGCGAGTTGCCTATGGTATTTTTTATTCATTAAC